GTAAGGAAGACACATAGGGTAAAATGAAAAGTCAATATCTGGTATGTCCGCCATTGGCAGCAACACAGGCTATCCAACGTCTTCTCATTGATCGAATAAGTCTGCGAATAGTGTTCTGGGGCATTCCACTTCAAGTTCAAGTTCTCTTAGGTTCTGTAATTGCTGACGACGTGAGAGGCGTTGACCCAGGTAATCCCATAGATGTTCAATTGGCGATAGATCGGGTGACAGGGCTGGCCATGGAAGCAGAGGCACATTATTGTTCGCTAGGTACTGTGTTGAAACACGTGCTGTGTGTTGGCCCAGACGTGGTCGATCTCTGGTGGTTCTTGTCTGCTGGTATCTGCTCAGTAGCCTGAGGACTGTTGAATGATGGCATTGAAACCGTTGTGCAAAGACTCTACTTGACGTACCAACTTGAAGCATGCCCAAGGCACGTTCACGTTCCTCTGTTGTTATTCCTTGCATTTCTTGTGTCAGTACCCTTTACGTCTGCAGCAACAAGTGATGTTGCTTTTAAAAGTCTGTCTTATATAGCCCTATTCTGCATGCTTCCCGTGAAACAAAACTCGTTTTCCATTATGTGCACGCATTTGTTGCGTTTTGGCGATGTCGCTCACAAACAAATTAGGAATGTGTTTTGACGAGCTGTTCTTCTTCATGCTTCGTCCAGAACGTCGTATTTTACTCATTCACTTTTCTATTTTCATATGACTTAAGCCCGGATAAAAATACATCCATTTTCATGGTGGTGCGTTTTCAATGCTGTTCAGTATATTAAGGGTAATATCAATCATTCTTTGACTGTCTTCAAACTCTTCATCCCAGCTTTCATTGATAATGAAACTGTACTGATAGATGTTCGATGTCCCATTCGAAAGAATCAGGTTTTACTTCGGACTTCCTGTAATTTCCTTCTTCAATACTCCGCGACTGAAATACCATGTGCTAAATGGAGGTGCCGGGTAGGCACAGACTGAGAAGAAGCCAGAGGCTGAATGTGATTGTCCGTCCTCGATAACTGATATTTCGCCGGTCTTTGCTTCTATCTTCCATGGCTCAGCTGAAATAATAAAAGTCAAAATGCTGTCGAAATCCAGATAAATTATGGTATAATTTTAATTTGTAATCGCATGGTAGCGTCATATTGTGACAGTTCGCACTGCGACAACTATATACCCCATGCCATAACCAATGAGACATGCAGAATTTCTAATGCTATTTATTTGAGACAAATACGTTTAAGTAACAATGTCTCATATCTTGCCACGGAAATTTATTGAGGGGAATACAGGTAGTTCCTGGTTTTGTACATTCACAATGAAAGTTAGCAAAGCATCTCTGACTAGTTATAGTGATTAATTATACACTGTTCATGGTTTAGCTTTAACAAAAGCATGATGCTCTTCGACCGAAGTTGTACCTAATGAGCTGCTAGCACTGCAAACGTATTTTCCAAGGTCAGAACAAGTGATATCTGTTATGTTACCTTGTCTACCTTATCATTGCCTTGTCTTTTCAGTTATTCTGCCATGTCCAGTGTGAATAACAGATACCCTACACATTTAAAGGTGGCATGCTGTCCCTTTCAAACGACGGTTTGTGTTGTCCTATTTACCACTACATCTTTCATACCCGGTGCGACTGAAATTGACAATGGAAGATTATGCATTTAAACGCAGTGTGTGCAGTATCCTCATCATTTATTTGTTTAAATAATACCAGAATGGTCTGGTGTCTCCTTGACATTGAACAGGAATTCGAACTACATAGAGATGGCATAGTTAACATAAAACATGAATTTAATATCGCACCCCAAACTTAGAGCAGACGAAATCAGAGTTTGCACATTATTTGAATTAGTTGCACAGCATACGGTCATCGAAACGAGTCTTCTATCTTTCGGCATGAAATGTTGCCTTGATAATTCTGGGGGGCACGGGTGGCCCAGTCGTCTAAGGCGCCGCGATTCGCTGTGCAGAGTTGCATCCCTTGGGCACGCCAGAAACCTATGATTGTGGGTTCGAATCCCGGTTCGCCCCGATTATGTTTCTAGGTTTGTCAGCACCATACCCGTGCTCGTGGGTTTCACCGAAGTGGTAAACGTCTGAGACCTGCATCACTTCGGGCTTTCCTCCCACATTAAGCTGGCACGCCGTGATATAACTGGAATACTGTTAAAAGCGGCGTTAAACCCAACTCACTCACTCACTTGATAATTCTGTGTGAGTGAAAGTGCTTCATTGTAGTTCTCACCATTATCAGAGTTACAATTTACTTTTTTTATTTTCCTGTTGTATTTTGAAACCTCTGAAATTAAGAGTTATAACTTGAAGAGGAGGAATGATTTGCCGAAGTTTCACCAAGTGTGCAATTTCAGATTTAGTTGTAAATAGCGTCTTATCATCTTTGAGATGTGAACTCCAGATTTTGACCCATTGCCCTTAATCTTTTAAATCATGTTCCACATGATTCACATGTGTATGCAGGAATTGATTTTAGATACCTAGTTCCTCCTGGATTTGCGTTTATTTTATTTAAATGGGCCATGTACCTCTCACTTTGGCGCTCGTGATTTTAACATTATTCAGGTTAACTAGCTTTTTTTACAATCATTATCAAACCATGGTTTACGTGTCTGACTGTTTGAAGAGGACTTAGGAATAATATCGTCTCCAGTGGTATTTAATTGATCTGAAAATAGTTGTGTATGAAACATTACTGAAATTGTCAGGTGTTACAATATAGATTGTAAGTAGTGTTGGAAAATGGTCACTTCCACAAAGGCCATCATTGACGGAACATTCAAATTCGTTTAAAATATTTGAATCTGTAAGTGAAATGTCAAGGGCAGAGTATGTGCCAGGGGTAGGATGCAGTTTTAGATCCATCATTGAAGATGCATAGATCATTGTTTGAGATAAAGTCTTCAGGGACTTTTCCCTTGCTAGTGTATCAGTACCGTTTAAATCACCCCTGATGATACAGTGTTCGGGAGCTGATCATACAAAGTCTGAAGACCTGTATGGCGGACAGTTGAGGAAGGTGGAAGATACAATGAACATAATGTAACACAGACAGCAACAGTTTGAAGATTAGTGAACAGGGCTATTGATTATGTGTGATTATGATCTGTGTTCTCTGAGGACGTTTCTTGGAGACAAAAAGCTGACGGTTAAAGATCTTGAATTAAAAGTTGTACTTTATTAAAATCTTCTTTAGACCTCTGCAATTCCATTGTTATGTTTTGTGGATTCATGGTGGTGCTTCCACAGGAAATATGTCACGCGAACGTGAGGAGTGCGTGAGTGAGTGAGTTAAGATTTATGGTCACATCGGCAATATTTCAGCCATATCTTGACATATTTTTTGCTGATTTTGTTTTAACGAATTTCTTTCTTTGAAAGATAAACAATATCTGTTCCTGTTATTTTTTTGCTGATTTAGAAGTCTAAGACTCGAATCTCATAACAGTTTTTGGTTTTGGAGGTGTCACAGGTGAAGGTGTAGCATCTTATTTTTGTAGTAAAGCAGGGGCAAGAAATTGAACAGACTTACCCATGCCAAATCAGTCTGCCATTCGATAGAGGCGGTGGCGGAGGACGAGAGACTGCATGCAGCAGAGTATGAAATGGTAGAGGTGGTTGCAGTAAAACATACAACCCTATAAGTTTCATGGTATGAGAGATTTGGTTAATATTGAATTTAATTATCTGTAATTCACATGCCACACAGGACAGGATTTAGAAGAGGCCATGTGGTTATCAATGCAGTTCCTGCAGTCAATGTTCTCTTGCTTGTCACCGCAGTGGTAACAAACAGCAGAGGCCGGCATGGCAGGACTTGGATCCATGTCCAAATGCTTGGCAGGTGTATCACAGGAGTGATGGGGATGTACACCTCCGTTCTATTTCTACAATAACAGACTTTGATAGATTGTGGAATTTTCAAACGGGCAACAATGAACAGGTATGTGTTGGTCGGTTCAACCAAACCATCCGGACAGACTGTTGGACACGTTCTTGGACCAAATCCTCTTCGGTCATGCCAGACAAGCAGCAAGCTCTGTCGCGGACAATTCCCTCAGATGAGAATAATAAATGAACGTGTCCAATAGTCTGATCGGTTGGGGGTATTTTCGCCACATGAATGGTCAGACTCTATATATCTTCGTTTTGCACCAGGTGAAGGGAAGCCATGTGGAAAAGAAAAATGGTTCAGCACCCCTCCCTCACCCATGGATGTCAACGAGGACAGTCTTATGCTGCAGCAGATCTCCAAGCTGCAAAGAGCGAGGATAAGGCAGTGTTTTGCTCCATCGAATTTGCCACGAGAGCTCAAACTATCTACCAAAGTTAAGGACAGACTGGTTCGGCCCATGACAATCAATTGGAGACGTACAGAATTCGGAGTTCAGCATCACCAGGTTGGCCTGTGAGTCATTTGTGGGCCAAGGGCTCTAAGTAAGTTTATAGATTGATACATATAAAATAGACATTTAGAATAAATTTATGTTACAATATCAACGTTTGTGGGAAATAGAGTATGAACAGGGCATGGTATGACCAGCCGATTGATATAATCGTGCCCATTCTACCACCCGTCTAGGCAAAGTTAGGGTCGAAGTGGTGCTTTGGACTGAGAAACACAAATTGACAGCCCAACACCCTCAGCCACCAGACTCCCATCCTCTGCCGAAATAGGGACGCAACACATGGCAAACAGGTTGACCAATTTGGTCGCCTCTTAGGATCAGCAGTGGGGTACTGGAGGGCACATTCTACCCCGGGTCCTCACGGGGTCCATGCTATCAATGACAATGGCAGATCCATCGTCCCTTTTGCAAAAGATTCGCCATGAAATTGATTCTTGATTACTTTTGATCGTGGATTCCTTCTGTGTTCAGTGTTATGTTGTACTTTCAGGCTCAATACAATGACAGACACCCGTGTCAGACACAGGAACGCGCACACGCACGCGCATATGCACGTGGACTACATACCCATATGTAAAATATGTATACGATTCTTGAATACTTGTGCTCGTGGATTCCATCAAAGTGAAAAACATCTGTGTTCAATATGCACAGACACACATGACAGATACAGGAACGCGCACACGCACGCGCACATGCACGTGGACTGTTAAACACGTACAATTACAAGTATATGCTGCGACAACCAAGAGGAATTTCAAAAGTTTCTCATCGTGGTCATTGTGTTATCTTCCATTCATAACTGTGACATGCTTGTGGCATGAGTGTGATAGTCTTTCTTGAATACTGATCAGTTGGTGAATGTTCTTTCACTTGTAAAACATGACATCCGTACCTTGGTTATCCACAGCTCAACAATCAACATCACACATGACCCAAATAGATGGGAAACAAGATAATGTAAGAAAACAGGTAACTGCGTTTTCTTATGGCCTTCGATGATATAAATTATACCTCTTTGGAACAATTGTTGCTGTCGAGGGAGTTTAATTAGGGATTTCATTAAAAAATATGTTAATGTGTGTGAAGGAGTATCCATGTATGCGTCCAGCAATGCAAAACATGTACATCATGTGAAACTGTCACTCAACTCTTGGGCATATGTAATAGATGTATAATATATTTTACCAGCTTTCATATTCTAATAAACATAGACATAACACCAACAACGAGCATCATTTGATATATGAAAAAGTGTATGCTACAACAACCAAGAATAATATAAAGTTTCTCATTTCATAATTGTGACATGCTTGTGACATGATTGTGATAGTCTCTATTGACTACCGATCAGTTGATGAATGTTCGTTAACTTGTAAAACGTGACTTCTGATCCTTGGTTATGCACAGTTCAACAATCAACATCACACATGACCCAAATAAATCGGGGAGATAATGTGAGAATACAGGTAATTGCATTGTAAAAAAATATAATATAAATTACACCTCTTAGGTTTGTTTTCAGAACTATTGTTAACGTTGTTATTATTTGCTGTCGAGGGAGTTTAGATTTGTTATAAACAAATATGTTAAAATGGATGAAGACGCTAATTTGTGTGAAGGAGTCTCCATGTATGTGTCCTTTTTCCATTTACTCCAAGAATACAAAACGTGTACATCATGTGAAGTTGTCACTCAACTAGGGCCTGCTGGGTTATCTATCCCTTGATATGAAGATGCGCCATTAGAGGACGACGTCACAACAGGTTGTAAATCTGATTGTGGAACTGCCTGACAGTAGGGTGGAGGGTCATCCTTCACGACTTCACTGTAAGCTGGAGGTGGAGTATTCATGCCGTGCTGGGTAGTTGCCGTAGTTGGTGGGACAGTGTAGACGGTGTTCAGGTTGGCTTCACGTGATCTGTTTCGTTGTGACTGGTCACTGGGTGTGAATTTTTTCTTGGAGTAAATATCACAGCAGCAACCGGTTACAATTGCCACGCCCACAATGCCGCCGATTACCCCTCCAATTATGCCTCCATAGTTCGGTGAAACAGACGCTGTACAAAAACAAACAACACGAAAAGGAACTTAAATATAGACGAATAACGCACTTATTAAGTCCATTGAATGTTATTGCTGTGAAGTTTCTGGATACAGAAGCTGAATAATAATTATATTCTCGTTCAAGGTGATTTTTTAAAATATTGCTTGCCCAAAGAACGACTGTCACAGATATGTGTATTACATGACCTTATAAGTCCTCTGGTAGAATGCGCGTTAAATATTGTTTCGGAATAGATTCCTGGACGTTTCACAACAATTAAATTATTGCAAAAGTATTGTGGTTTCATAATCCTATTGCGTTGATGTCTCATGATGTTTCACCTAACCTGTCTGAAGTTTCCAAGGTTCTAGATTGCTTGAGAAGTTAATGTTAAAGGGAGATCTAGCGGTTTTCATGTTTTTCTTGCTGGTTCTCATGCTGGGGAAACGTTTGCACAGAAGGTAATAACATACGCATATATCTCATTGTATTACATTCATCGAGCCATTGATTCAAGCGGGATATAGGTGTCAATTGCCAATTGTTCAACTACAGAGGACAATTACAATGAATCGACAACTATCCCCTCTACAACCCGTGACACATTATTTACAAACAATGAAACAGTGTATAACTGTTTAGATTAAGGCCGCTTTGTAACTATTTCAGACGTGCACAGGTGTGGCATCTTGATGCAATGTGAAACGAATGAACACTGGTCTCGTAAACATAACCAGGGCGAATATGTTTAGTCATCCTGACAACCGTGTCCCGCCCCTCCACCTCCATGGTCAACCCCTACCCTCGAGATACTCCTTAGTCATCTAAACACGTGGTATGTATAATGTTTAACCCCAAATGTTCTGCAGAAAGTAGTTAGTATACTGTATGGTGCAAAATACGCTGCAGGTGTTAATCAACACGGATACAATGGAAAGGTACAATGACGGAGACGTGACATAAACGTTATAGTAGGGGTGCCGATTGATGCATTTCATTCGTCCTGTCTTAACAGATTCGATGTATACAACTTAAAAACTTACAGGAAGACGTTGGCTCGACAGCAGTGAAGGCCAGTTTAAATCCTTTGAAGGAGTTCGAACTATCGGAGAGGAATCGAACCTTCATACTCATCCCTGTACTCTGTGTAACTGGTCCATGCGATCCACACCATCGACCAAGCGAGCGTTTATATGTTCCAGTGACTATTGCAAGAATAGAACATGTGTGTGATATTATGAAGATATTGTTATACTGACAACAAATCACATACACATGCTAGGATGCTAGCTGTGTTAAGACAGGCATTACTTTTAACATATATTTGGGAATGATATTCAATTATTCCACATGACCATTTTATTTTTATTTTTTTATTTTAGTGTAAAGTGGGGGTATGTGATTCTGGTCGATGACATTTCCTACTTTGTAGCTCAAACGACGAGGTATAACCTGGATTAACACCGTGTTATAGCAATGATAAAGCGACACTGGTCTTACAAATTCAGCTAAACTCGTTGACATAGGGACACGTATTCGTATGCATAATACACTGTCTCTCTTACTCAATTCTAGGAAAACCCTTAAGTCAATCATTACCGTCATAGAGCTGCACAAAATCATAGGAACACAGGTGGTCTGACACAAGGTAGAAATGCACAGCTTTAACATGGATGACATATCCTTCAAGGCGGGTGCTGATTGTCCATGAACAATCTGCATGGCTAAAATTAAACAATACATTATATATTGTAAAATATTATACAAAAATCGAATTATGGCATGATCTGAGTGTTGTTTGTGACGTAACGCCACAGTTTTGCAAATTCGCAACAGGATAACATTAATTGCGACAGAAATGTACTACTTTAACCTGGATTACATATCCTTTGACATCAGTGCTGATTGTCCATGAACAGTCGATATTGCTAAAGTTAAAACAATACATTAGTATTGTAAAATATAGCACAACAAAACGAATTATAGCATCATCTAAGTGTTGTTCATGATGCAACGCCACTGTTTTGCAAATTCGCCACAGGATTACGTAAACTGCGACACAATCTACACAGACATTTCTGGTGTTTCTGTTGACTTTCTTAAAGATTACTACATTCAATGATCAAATACTATGCTCTGTTTTACATTTTGTTTGTTGACCATATGTTAAATTGTCGAACACACAGGTTCAAGAACGACTGACAATCGTTTGCGATAACCAAAGGAAGATATGGTTAATTCTATACTCAACAACAAAAGTTCCTGTAACACCAATATTTTGGTGTTTTTTAGTGTAAAGTTTGGTTTTCAGTATTGTATTACATGTATGGAACCAAGTCACAAAAACGCAACTGCTACAGAAAAGCATGCTTTCCTTGCAAAAGTTGACTTTTAGGCAAGCCCCATGCATTTCATTACCCAAGAATGGGTATTTAAACATGTGCGTTAACGGGATTCCATATGCTTTGTTTAGCATCGTGCTGACAACAACCACTCAGAAAAACAGCAAAATTACCCATATATTCAACACTACGAAATGCCACGCCTGTCCGAAAATGAGCGTCTGCGAGCCATTGGTATGCTTGAAGCAGGATCGCGTCAACGTGATGTTGCAGGAGAAGTTAACGTCCACAGAAACACTAATTGGTGTTTATGGCAACGTTGGCAACAGACGAATGCAGTCACAGACCATCGTCGCGTAACCAGTAATCGACAAGACAACTGGATTCGAAAAAAACACACCTACGAAATCGATTCCAGCCAGCAACAGTGACTGCAAGAAGCATCCCTGGCCTTCGACGAATATCTTCACAAACCGTACGTCGTTGCCTAAGATGTGCACGGACTGTCGCCAGAAGACCCGCCAGACGTCCCATTTTGACAGGAAACCACCGTCAAGCACGTCTATAGTGGTGCAGACAGCGTCTACGCTGGACGGCCATGCATTGGTTCTATTCACTGACGAGTCTCGTTTTCACCTCAGCCACATCGATGGACGGATTCGAGAGTACGTCGAGGTGGACGTTCCGTCAATCATTGTGTCAGCATCAGCATCAGCATCAGACAGCATCTACGCCGGATTAAGTTTGGTAATCTGAATGTGCAAAAAGATCATCAATATTGATAGCGTTTTACATTAGCTGCACGAAATAGGGCTGGAACAAACATTAATAATATACTGTCGGAAATAGAAATAAACTGATTTTTGTCCTTTTTTAATATCGCCAATGTGGACATTGGGGACAAGTTCTATTGGCGATATTAAAAAAGGACAAAAATCAGTTTATTTCTATTTCCGACAGTATATTATTAATGTTTGTTCCAGCCCTATTTCGTGCAGCTAATGTAAAACGCTATCAATATTGATGATCTTTTTGCACATTCAGATTACCAAACTTACAATCTGAGCTATTATAAATATAAGATGCCCACGACATAAATTGCAAAGAACAAGGAAGGACAGGCGTGGTTTATTTCACATTCATTTCTTGTGGTGCAGGCACGTTTGTTTGTTCGTTGTTGAAAGCCGCACTCCGCAATATTCCAGCTGTATGGCGGCGGTCTGAAAATAAACAGTCTCGACCAGACAATCCTGTGATTAACACCATGAGCATCGATCCACGCAATTGGGATACGATGACAAGCATCAAACATGTCAGCAAGCCCGTCACCTTTTACGGCAAGCATGGGTTGCTGACGACGTACTCTACCCCGGATCTTCACAGGTAAGGTGCAGACATGGGTCTACCTATTTTGTATATCCATCAGTTGCTATGAAACATGCCTAACTTAAACCAAAGAACGGAAATATTCTGTAGTCGTTTGTTTGTGTGAGAAATATGTCCGATGAAATGGTAAGCTGTGCAAACTATACAAAAGACACTATCTGAGCTACTAACTGAGCTGTGTGTCTCCGACGATAAGCTTACAGTGAGCTTTACTGTATGTTGCTTTACACGTAGAATACTTAAAATTCTATTGGTCAGTGACATTTGGATTCATTTCCATCTAGACTACAGATTCGTATCTCATTTTTAAAATTGTAGTAAATGATAACCACGGTGCTGAGATAAATTTGTACTTGTCCTACCACTCGGGGAATTTTGATGTACCTCTTTGTGGCCGTGATTATCGCAACACGTGTAGTGCATACTCACTTGGGATAATGCAGAGGGTAATTCGGTGATTCAATATATTTCGTTTTATAATTGTTTATCTCTTCGTCTTTGCCACAACCTGAAACGTTGAATAGTCACACAGCATTAGATGGACTCATGAGTAGAGTTTTGATTGAGTGATGATGAGGATGTCCAAGGAGCAACGGGATTGTTCACATTGAGAGGAAAAACAAAGAAGGGATGTGGTAATGACTTTCCATAGCTGTTAAATATCTAGTATTATCGCTTATGTTTCACAAATATGAAATACCTTCATCAAACGTTATCGAATTGGTGAAATGTGTTAACAAGAAAGATAATTAGAGTTTTGTTCTTTTCAATAAATCCATGTTGAAAAACATTCATAACATTAACTTTATCTGGCATTTCAACAGAGGAACAATGCGTCTTGTTGTACCACCTTCCTTGGTTTAGTTATTATTATAAATGATGTTGCAGTTTTAATGTTAGGACGTATGGATAACTCATGCGGTTAACCAGTGGAACAAGACAATCGTCATTTTAATCAGAGACAGAAAGTACCTGACGTCTTGTATTTCAAAGAAAATCCTCTTCCTGTCACAGAGCCGTCAGTGTGGAAGGTGATAGTCATGGCGTTACTGGAGCTGACCACGTCCCTGGTGCCAGTACAGTATTTACCCAGCTTAGTGCCGTAAGACGAGAAGCCTTGAATATATACATTGAATGACCCATGTCGTCGAGGCATACACGTTAAGATACTAGAATTGAAGTCAAGTTGAGGTTAATAAATTAATTATTGAGCATATTTTTGCAAACTAAATCAACAAAAAGAGCAATATGACTTTTTTTCATTTAAGCACTTTCATAAAATTGAAAATCGTGCTTACCGTCACTGAAGAGGAGATACTCTCTTGCACAGGTGGCTTCATATTCCAAAGAAAGAGCTCTAATTTCGGCTTTTATTTTATATCCAGCAGGTGCAGAAATTGTCCACTTGCACTCCATATTGCTACAATGAATGATGTGGTGTACTCTTTAAACGTAAGCACAGATGAGATCCAAAAGCAATCAACATATGATGGTGATAATTGAATGTTACCTTGACACCTTGAAACCATGAATATGACCAGAGCAAAATATATAACCAACATAACGTTTCTCCCCAGGGAAGGTAAATAATTAAATTCTTTTATCGTGATGGTGTTCCCAATTATTTAAAAGCTGCAAGATAGTCTTTAGGCATAAACGAGAGATCCCTAAACCTGATTTAAAGTCTGGATTATCCGAAGGCATCAATGACTAGGGAAGGGGTAGAATGCCAGAGTAGAGGTTCAAACTATGCAGAATCTCTGTCCCAATATGAAATGTTCAAACAATATGTCATGTAGTCTCTCAACAATAACTCATCATCATTTCAAGGTTTCTGTTGTGGATGGCACCTTACAATCTTAGTGTGCAGTGACTGGATGCAGATAAGATGATTGCACTCATATAGCGACGTGCATCCACCATGTGTGGCTGCCTGTGCTTGTCCTGACGAATGCCACTTTTAGAGTGCGAGGCCACTGAGATTCCATGCCGTAGTTTAACACGAATACCCTCAGACACAGTATACTGCCTGTATACTTACTGTGAACATAGACAACCACACTTAAATCTTTGCATGTGAATTAACCAAAAAGTAGGTCATTTCCCAGAAAGCCGTCAGAAATGAATACATTTTTTATGTACACATATAAATAAAATTATATTCGTAATTATTGACACTTTTGTCAGCTTCAATAGTTCGCGATAATGGTAATGGCATCTCGGTTAAATTCACCATGAAAATAAAGTTTTTGGAATTTAAAAACCCTTCAATCAGTGAACTCTCTAATTCGAAAACCCCCCCATTTCTTTTGATGTATTCTGGAGGCAAATATAAAATACCAAGGTAAATATCATCATCAACACTAAACATATCTTTTCCAGTCTTTCTCGGCTAACACAATACTACCTTATCTTCGGCGATGAAGGTAAGTTAAAGGTAGCCATAAAGCGTTATGTACAAACGCTGCATTATCTCAATGCAGTATTGTTCAATTTAACGTCCTTCGGTGAGGTGCTCTTAAACACTACAGGATATTATCAATGTGTGTCATTCAGTTGTGATGTATTATGGTCATGTATTATGTTAGGCCTTCCAGGCTTTGGATATAGGTCGGAGGCTTCCTTATATGCCAGATTTCAATGATGTGTATCTAAGACTTTTACCACAAGGTTACACTCACAGGCACGAGTATGATGCGGACAAGTCAAGGATAATCGTCAGGGAGATATTTCCAAGCGCTGCTCAATCTCAACAGAGTATTGTCCTGATTTAGGGTGTATAAACACTATATGATACCATTGGTGTGTGCAATTCAGTTGTGATGTATTATGGTCATGTGTTATGTTAGGCCAGTAAAGTCAAGGATAATAGACATGGAAAATCTAGGATTTGAAACCATGATCATAGGATTCAGGCATGTTTTTCTGCACAGCAAATTGCAACGACAAAAACTATTGGGTCACGCGTTCGGTCCCTCGTGGTAATAAGGGTAATTGTATGTATTGGTCACCTTATGGCCCGAAGGTTTCATTATATTAACATGCCAGTTATCAATAAGGGGCATCAACCAAGATGTATATATGTACTTACTTGTTGTAATTGTTGTTAGGGTAGCCAGGAGACGACAAATATCTCCAGGTGGACGTAGAGGCGCTGAGCAAAGGACTGCTACAATTAAGCCCATTTGTTATTTCTATAGAAACAAAAAGGACAGCGAGAGTGAAAGGACAATTGTTATTTTTTTAAGGTTATAAAGCGATAGAACATATTTCAGTTGAAAAAGTAAATGAACCTGTTTTTCGTCTAAACTCACTTACGAGTATATAACTAGTTAGTAAACATCATGCAAAAATACTTTTAAATTTTATAACGACATCTGCATAGTTTAGAAACGAGAAAAGGTTTATTTTTTGTCACTAAATGTATCGTTTTATTTGTACAAATATCAATTATATTTTGTTTCGCAAACACCCATTGTAGACGTAACACTATACTGTGTCCCATGTGACTGAAGTGTGTCTAGAAGCAGTGGCCAAGTAAATAATCTAATTCTACCATCAATACCAGCCCAAAGCACCATTCAATATGACCAACCCCACATCCCTTACACCATGACCCCGATTATTTAATAGCCGGCCGTAAACACACACCTGTAGTAGTTGTAGTAGTTGTACTTGTAGTAGTTCTATATCCAGCTTTGTATTTCAGATTAAATCCTAGTGCTGTGTCAGAGCCGTCGGTGTGGAAGGTAATGGTCATGTAGTTTCTGGAACTGACGACTAACCTAGTGATGTAACTACGACCACAATATTTTCCCAATTGAGCACCGAAAGACGTGGAACCTTGAATAAATAAGTAAATATATTTATTCACTCGTGACATCGGTTTAGAGACATACACTTATATGTATACATCTTAGTAATCGAATCAACTTGAGGCTAATGCTATTGGTTATTGATCAAAACTCAATACAAACGTAACCTTGAATAAATATATTCTGTGGCAATAATCTCTCATGAGTACTTATTACACTAATAAATTAAGTGAACTTGAATTATTTCGGATGCATGGTGTAATTTGGACTGATAATACAGATATTGATCAGAATTTGTTAAACACCAATACAGCAATACACAGTTATGATTATATATACTTGAAATATTTATTAAAATTATGTACATGGTGCTTACCGTCACTGAAGAGAAGGTAGTCACTTGAACAAGCTGTCGAGTTTTCCACATTAAAATACACAACTTCGACTTTAATTGCATATCCAACGGGGGCAGAGATTGTCCATTGGCAGTTCAGGTTGCTGCAAATAGAACTTGCTACATACAGCTTTATATACATACATACAAACACACACAAACACACACTCTGTTTGGACCAAAGTATTCATACAATCACATGCATATCAACACTAGCATGACACAATATGAATGGTTTTCATGAACATCGACGATTAACAGTTTGTGAGTGTGTACGCATTCGTCTAAGACGCCGCAATGTGCTGTGCAGAGTTTGGCACGCACCAAACCTATTGTTCAGTTATTATCCTAACTTACAAGTAACATGCTACATAGCTGTCAACACGTGTGCAGTGCTCCGTTCAAGTCAGATATGAAGTGCTACCTAAAGGTCTTTACAACTGTATAATCTGTAACAATGAGTTGAGTAAGCAGGTGTTACGCTGCGTGGAGATTCAGGCACAATCAGGCTTCACACATCACACTCGTGTGAGGAACCGAAGCCTGAAATTGAACATTGCGAGTGAACGTGATATTGGTGGAAGTCAGTAACAGAATCTGGAGGTAATTACCGGTTCAAACTAACATACTTGTTGATGTAGATCGTATCCATGGACCAAGACACAAGTGTTAACTCGTCACATGTGTAGTGCAAACTTCAGGTCACGTGTGTAGTGCTACCTTCAGGTCACGTGTTTGGTGCTATTCACTTGAGACATGTGTAGTGCTACCTTCAGGTCACGTGTGTAGGGCGTCCTTCAGGTCACGTGTTTGGTGCTATTTACTTGAGACATTTGTAGTTCTACCTTCACGTCACGTGTGTGGAGCCATTAGCTACCCTTGCAGTGTTATTTGTCAATTGAGTAGACCTACTAACTGACTGACTAACTACTACTCATTTGTTACGCGAGTAGGTACCTACTTGGAATAGTTTGAAGGATAGCCAGGAGAAGTCAAGTGCGTCCATGCAACAGAAGAGGCGGACAGATCTGATAATCCACAAGAGTGACCTTCAGTTAACATAAAGGAAAACAAAATGTAATAACGAGCATATTCATAATAATTCACAATTAATCAAAACGACAAATTGACGATTTGTGATAACAACTACAAGGATTATAACTTAGGGGATTAACGTCGTTCGTCGTAAAAATCCCATTGGGGTTTATGAAGTCTGTTTAGGCACCAACAGATGAGATCGTGCCTGTTATTGTCAAGGATGTTCAATCTGATGCCTGACAAGCTGTAAGCTGTGAGTAACTCAGTGGTGGGTACTCTGTTAAATAAGGAACAAGTCTCTCACAGAATCATTCGTCACCACTCGCCCCTTTCCGTAACCTGCAAGAAGACTCGTCCCCCTATCGATGAATGTTATGTGCGAAAATACGACAAACCAATCAGAATGCGCGTATGATTTCAAGTTCTTTGCCAAAGAATCCCTCAGAAATTTTTTTCTGTTTTTACATATGTCTTGCATCTAAAAATATACCCAAGACACAGTTAAATGTGTTCAATCAAACTGAATAATTTCGCATGTCCTGATATGCTTTTAATTGCATCTGAAATATAAATGATATATGGGGAAATATATGTGAACCATTGGGCAACGAGTTGACAATCGTTTTAGGTATGCCTGTTACGACGTAAATTGTAATAAAAAGGTAAATTGTAATACTTGCAGCAAATTGTAATAATTTTGACGTAGATACGTAATAACAACGTAAATTGTAATAAATTTTGACGTAAATTGTAATACGCAAATTGTAATAAAAATTGACGTAAATTGTAATAATCTCAACTTGCGGTAAAATGAAATAACTTTTTACATAAATTGTAATAACCTTATAAGTTTAGTGTCAAAGGCGTTAAATGCCTAGAACCTATCCTTGTCAGGGTTGGTACAGGGTTTATCGTACAATTGTCATTAAAGTATGGGTGTGGGGGAGGATTGAGGTCGTTATCGTGAATTGTTGTATAATTATATGTATATATAAACGCATTGGAATTTCATTTCTATGGTTGTCCAGAAGAGGATTAATTACTAGAATGAACTTTGTTTTCTTATTTATTTGAGAAATACTCTGTGTGTTTTGTATTATATTTTGATGAAGAATTCAAATACATCAAATGAGTGACAAATCTCCTGTGCAATGTCAAATGAAAAAAACAGTCGTCAGCAAATGCAGCATAGACTTCCCATGTATGGGAAAGGAGAATACTTAATACATAACATTATATACAATGTTTTTTTTAATATCAAAAGAGGGGCGTGGATATTTTTTACCTACATTGCATATACTATTAGATATTGTCGATCTCTGTGAACTTCTCACAGATAAAGAAATAATAATAAATAAATGCAAACCATGTTAACTTATGCAATATTTGTAGCAATATATGATTAACATATGGATAATTAATATAGCATAAAATATTTCCTTTCATAACAAGAAGTATATTTAATGAAATAAATGAATAAATGTAACTGTCTGGATTCCTTTCATATGTCATGAAGAACTAACAACAACTTACTGACAACTTTTGCTGGGATAATAACTCCTTGCCCCAACAACAAAAACATAATCCATCATGATAACGGCACGAAATCATAATTCAAAGCATACAAAAATAATATCCGGTATCTTCGGGCATGTCTTGTTGAGTTTCAAAAAGCATCAGAATGTATAATAAAATTTGTTGCATTCAATTATTGCTGAAATATATTTGTTGCAGGATTGAAAGGATGGAAAATCTATAATTAAAAGGCTTTTGTCACTAACGTAAATATTCTCTTTGTCCTTATACGAAGAGTACTCTAAGTTTATTAAACTCGACAATCGTTGATTGATTGGGCCAAGCAACCTTGATACCAAATTTGGTACCTAACGTATAATGCGGTACATAATTTTCGAAACAGATAATTATGTTTTTCGTAAGTTATCACTAATTTGTGACATGTATACGGACAAAAATTACCTCAGAGGATAATCTTCTCTGGGGGTTTAAGAGGATTAAAATAATTCCAGCTAACATCAAGCACTGTAATACAATATTGAAGTTATAGCATACCATCTTAACATTCCAATGAAAAGAATAGTGACTAACTAAGAAACCAAATTATATTTATCTCTGATACTATGCCCTCATCAGTATACACACAGTATAGTGTGTGTATGTATGTATGTGTGTGCGCGCATGTAGGTGTGTATGTAATGACAGTAAATGTGAGCTCTATGTCATTGGTATCACATATATGACTGCACTTCTACATACTCTAGATGACAGTATCATGTACGTAGATGAAAGTATGTAAATGGACGATAGTATCTAGATGGCATACTATCATCTACGTAGAAGAAACTATCATATACGTAGATGAAAGTATCTTCTACGTAGATGAGAGTATCATCTACGTAGATGATAGTATTTTCTACGCAGATGGTAGTATCTTCTACGTAGATGATAGCATGCCACAAACATCACATCACTTCCAATAAATGTTTTTCACTATGTTGATACAACCCTTTAATGACGATTGTACGATAAAGCCTAAACCAACCATCCCTAACTTAACAGTTTTGTACGTTTGTCATCATACACAGTATTTCTCGAATTGTACATGTGAAACACAAGCTCAACTGACAAAGATCATTTCTAGTCAATTGGCGTCTTGGACACTACAGTAGTAAGGTTATTACAATTTACGTAAGAATTTATTACATTTTACCGCAAGTAGAGATTATTACAATTTACGTCAATTTTTATTACAATTTGCGTATTACAATTTACGTCAAATATTGTTACAATTTACGTCGTTATTTCAATTTACGTCAAAATTATTACAATTTGCTGCAAGTATTACAATTTACCTTTTTATTACAATTTACGTCGTAACAATGCCTGTTTGCGCTAAGACGGAACCCGGTTTCAAAAATGGCCACGAGAGGGACACGAGTCGCTATTCGGCTTGTCCCGGAATAACACGAGTTGGTCACGAATGTCACAGAATGGGTCTTTGTGGTCATTAAGGAAAATATATTTTTCAAAGGAAGACAAGAACTAGAATTTGACCACCATGAAACACCAACATGTTGACTTTTGTAAAAAATCAAAAGTATTTGTACGACATATTACCAGATAAGTACTGCAAGCGAACACCTCATCCTGAGATTTAACTGTAAGAATGAAACATGATGGTCATATGGTTACCGGAGCTTGCAAACAAGGTCATGGTTTTACTAACCGTCTGTTTCATGATATTGAATGAGGAAACCACCTCTGGTTACACTATCATCAGTCTCGAACACTGCATGAATATGTTGGTCTTCACGGGTAATAAGATGTAATCTGCTTTTTCCACAAATTCTTTTTGACTCGCCTATTCTTTGATCACCTACGGTTGAAAAATGTAATTGTCAGTAATCAGTAATTTCTTGTTACAAACAAGAATGTTTTTTAGTATTCTTGAAAATACCTTAAATAGAATTGCAAATTAATAAAACGTGGAATGTCAAAATCAACATTTAGCTAATATCAATGAGCTGCCTTCCTAAATGTCCTACAGACATCATGAAACAAGAACGTGTTAATGTTGTACTTTGACTGAGTAACCAACAATTAAGAAGCAATAAGCAGAAATCGATTGATGAAAAAATAGTGCAATGACATGTAATAACTAATAGGCGATTGACTTTTTTCAAAGCATCTTTAACCCATCTACATATAATCAAACGATTCTTATTGCTTTTATTCCAGAATTTAGTTACTGATAACAATAATAATCTATTTCTGAGACTATTTAAGACAAATTAGGTTTTCAACGTACAAACTAACTATTTTACCCTTATTTTTTACGTATATGGTAAGGGCGTCATATGGACAGTTGGATCCGGATGAGCCTTCGATATCGGAGAACACCATGTCGAGTATAACGTTGTACCCTCTCGTTTGAGGGTAGATGTCCCAATAGCAGTTGTCATTGCTGCAGAAGAAAATGCTTGTTGGGAACGTAGGCAACATCAACTTGTTTGTATTTAATTCTGACGTATCAAGAATAACAATTATGATGAACAGGAATATCTCTTTACATACCTTTTGTAGTTGCCTGGGAAGTTAGGAGATGTGAAATTCAGCAGTTCCCTTTGAGCGTAGAACTTGACGTTACACGCGCCTGTAGGGAAACGTTTACCGTTTATATATATATATATATATATATATATATATATATATATATATATATATATATATATATATATATATATGCAATTGTATACATTAATTTTAGCATCACTCTAGTTCAAGAACAATGAAGGATTGTAGTTAGAGACTGATTCTTCCTTACTTGACGAAACGTCAAGTAAGTAACACTGGCTCCTTTTATAATAAAGTATGTGTTATTTAAGAAAGCAGTGAATAACGGTCAAGTTAAATTAATAATACTATTTCAGATATATAGCTGATAGTTGTATATAAAACCATGCAAACGGAGATCAGATGTGCTGTACTGTACAGAATTGGAACAACGTTTCTTCATAGTTGCGTGCCTCTACATGTCGACAGTTAGCAGTGCATGGAATTATTTCGCAAGATTTCTGATGTGTAATCAAAACTATCCGTTGTAATTGATCTGCTTTCTCTGAGATTATAGGGGCATACTTCACATCATACTGATAAGATATTACCTCTATGCAAATGGAAACAAAATACACATTCTGTCTGATACATGTTCTTTGAAATGTCACCCATGTACAATGAAGCTTTGAGACATGTTCATGAGTCAACTGAACAAGCGTTCTTGGCAATGTGATAATCCCGTAACAGGCGAGCCATATACCAAAAAACGATCAGTCATACTTTTGTCTTAACATTATGCTTGACTGTCTTGGTGCCTGGTGTAATAACAAACAAAAATATTTGTTGTCAAAGAACATTGATTTTAGACAGCAATCAGTCTTGAAGACGAACTGCGCATTTTACAAATATTGGAAAGTTACTTCTATTTAGGGGCATTGGTAATACAATATCTGGACCATACACATATGGCAAAGCAACTGCTAGCTCAGCTAGCAGAGCGCTTGGTTTACTGATCTCTAACTATAAAATATATGGTTGTGTGCAATACCGTACATTTACAACGTTACATGACACGAAGTGTGGTCGGTTTTAGAATATGGCTCATGTATTTTGGGAATAAATAATATGCCGTGTGTTAATGCTTTACAGAATAGTGCAGTAAGTTTTTATCTGGTTGTGAAACGTTGTCCCAAACTTAGCTGTAAGCGGCGGCATGGCATGGACCCCACCAGTAGTACGCCAATGGGGAAGTGTGGTTCGACAATAGAAACGTCTTTGCAATATAAACCAAGATCGTAGCTCTAGTAAAATGTGTCTATGGGGTAATTAATGTCAGGGCAACCAGAATAAAGAAAAAATCTTTACTTCCGCACCCATTGTAAATTAGTAGATCTGGACTTGAGCGACGTAGTCTCTTAAACAAGTGTGACATACAGAAAATAGCCCATATTTTGTTAGATAATATTATTTGTTTTCTTACCGCCAAAACCTGCAATGGCATTTTACTAAAAAGGCAAAAAAATGTTTTATACAGCTGCTAGTCAGCTTCTGTTTTTATCATATATGCTTAATATGTGAATATCTTTTAGAAGAATCTCATATAGGTATTTTATTATTTAACAGTGTTGTGATGAGTCACATATGAGATATACAGCTGCTAGTCGGCTTCTGTTTTTATTATATATGCTTAATATGTGAATATCTTTTAGAAGAATCTCATATAGGTATTTTATTATTTAACAGTGTTGTGATGAGTCACATATGAGATATACAGCTGCTAGTCGGCTTCTGTTTTTATTATATATGCTTAATATGTGAATATCTTTTAGAAGAATCTCATATAGGTATTTTATTATTTAACAGTGTTGTGATGAGTCTGTCTGTCATTTAACCGGGACGCCGCAGACGCTAACAGGATATGTAACGCTGTTGAATTCTCCTTTAAACACGTGTACACGACCCTGGGATTGTTGTTTGCTTAACAAACATATCTATAACTCGACAAGTGCATACGTCAATAAACATCAATCAAAAGCCAATAAATACTGAACAACAAAAGCTCCTGTGACATTGAATAAGATTTAATGCAAAGTTATGTTTTTTACCAAATCTGAAACAATTTCGGTTTGCAACAGATAAAAGACACCTGTAAGTGTTCAATTGGTTTAATTTGCCATACTGACTTACAGACATACAGAAAATGCGTGATTTCATAAAAAAAAAACATGAACATGCCAAAATGTAAATTTACAAATCAATGGCGTGTGTGTCCACCTTTAGTTGCAATGCAAGCAGCACATCTTTGTCTCATTAAATGGACCAGGCGTCGCAGAAAGTCCTGTGGGATATCTGTCCATATCTGCTGGAGCAGGTTTCGAAGTTCCTGGAGTATCTGTGGAACACGTGGTTGACGTCGAAGGCGCCGATCCATCTCATTCCACATGTGCTCGATTGGTGAGAGATCAGGGGAGCAAGCGAGCCAGGGGATGACATTCACGTTGTTTTGTTTTGCTGTCCATTGAGATTTCCCTCTGTCTTGCTGTAATCCCACCCCATACCAAAACGCTGCCTCCCCCGAACCGATCTTCTTCCATGACACAATGATTGACGTAACGTCCACCTCGACGTACACTCGAATCCGTCCATCGATGTGGCTGAGGTGAAAACGAGACTCGTCAGTGAATAGAACCAATGCATGGCTGTCCAGCGTAGACGCTGTCTGCACCACTGTATATTAGGTAATCCTGAAAGGACGTCAAAAAAAACCTTAGAAATTCTTAAATCAGTACAAGACTACATTCAGCTATCCAATAGGTTTTGTGATTTTACATAGCATCTTAAATTTATAATACTATTCCTTGCCGTATATTGCAGTACACTATTACTACTAAAAATGCGACCTGACAGCGCCGACATCGTAGTTTCTATAATAAGAACATGTATATAATTGTATTCCTTGACTGTACTTTTGTCATATCATATTGTATTCTAATTCTGGAGCGGTATTCAAATAAGTGTTTGCTTGTTTACCCATCCAGTTCACAAGTTGTGAAATAAATATGTTTAAAACAATATTTAGTAAACAAATAATAAAAACGTATGCAACAACATAGCCTGTGGAGACGATAGACCACTGAAAAGAGCATATATATGCACATCCAATGACCCCTGACATCACAAGGCATTGTTTTGCCAGTGTGTCAGGCAACAGAATACTACGAATTACACCACAGGGTACTGTGACCTGTTTGAAAAGTTAGGTACTGTATTCTAAAGGTAGGCCCAAAATTCTAGACAATCCAGTGATTGATATTGTGAACATCAATCCACACTGTTAGATGGTTACTGTCAGATGCCATGAACAAGGTCACCGAGCCTGATCACCTGATCTATTAGGTTAACTTTTATGGGTGAGGCTAAAACGGCACCTCGGCAAAATGTCACTGATTTCTCGGACGAAAACAGCACCTTGTTTTGGCAAAAAGGGCTACTAATTGTTGTCTGTTATCTGGAGAGACATGTTGATTCCTGGCCGAAAGATATATAAATGAAATTTCTATAAAATTACTATTTATTTCCTACTTACTAAAATAAATATGACATATATAGTATACCTGTTGTCCAGTTTCTTGACATTTTCGCCAGGCTCAGTTTCAGCTTGACATTGAGCTAATCTGAGTAAAGCTACTTAGGACTTCAAAGCATGTGATCTTTCAATGATAAGTTTAGTTGCACCTCCCAATCAGAATCATGAGTAAATTTGAGCAGAGGCTAATTTCTAATGTAAACCATTTTGAGGTGATTAACATCTAACAATTATTTGTGTTTGCAAGTTTAATTGCATTTATTTTACTTCAAAGAAATCAAAGCATATTATATTTTCACAATAAGTTTAGTTGCATCTCCAAATCAGAGTCGGCGAGTAGATGCTAGTTTTTAATGTAAACCTTTTTGAACATTAGCAAGGATTAACATAAGTTAGGTAGATTGCTTATCCTACAAAAATTAAATCACACATTTACTAACATATATAAAACAGAATAAGTGGCTTACAGAAGATAAATAACTTTAATACGTGATCAATATTATTAACATATTCCTTACCTGAATCAGAGACCATATAACAGTCTATGTATTATGGTCTCTGTCTGAATTTCTCAGTTATGTGTGTTTACAAGTGACCATGCAAGTTTAATTTCATGTATTCGGGCATATTCAGACCTAAGGTAAAAAAAAAAACAAGGTGCTGTTTTCACCAGGCAATAGTAGGCAAGGTGCTATTTCCCTTTATAGTATAACCCTCTCTTACAACTAGCATTGGTTGATGGATACCAATTCCAACCCGGAATCCCCACATGAGTGGGTATGGTTTTATGCTGTTTTTAGCAATACCACAGCAAGGGACACCTGACATAGACTTCACACATTGTACCAATGACAAGAATCGAACCTTTGTCTTCAGCACTTCATCTACTAGGCTACCCCACCGCCAAAATTCCCAACATGATAAAGTTGTCATCACGGTATTCTTCAACAAGTTCAAGTGAAAATATCCATACCTTTCAAATGTCTAATCTTCCACTTCACAATGTTCACTGTTGCAAAACTCCTGTCATTTAATTTGTTTTTGATTCTTCACACCTGCAAAATTAGGTTTAGTCGGTACGGTATGAACTAAAAAAATGAGACACTTTAGAGTATCTAGATAAAGGAATATAAGTAAGCAAACATATTTCTACATCATATACATTAGCAAGGATTAACATAAGTAAGGTAGATTGCTTATCCTACAAAAATTAAATCACACATTAACTAACATATATAAAACAGAATAAGTGGCTTACAGAAGATAAATAACTTTAATACGTGATCAATATTATGAACATATTCCTTACCTGAATCAGAGACCATATAACAGTCTATGTATTATGGTCTCTGTCTGAATATGTCACGTCTTCAGCTCCCTGCAATCGAGGTTGTGAAACATTTCTGCTGTAGGAATATTACATCCGCTGGGATATCCCTTGTCACACTGCCTGGCATGGTAGGCAAACGCATATTCCATACACTACATAGATATACTTCCTAATACACACTGTCGAAATCCCCGCGGCTCCCAATATGGCCTGCATGAACTGTAATCGGCCAACCTCGTCTCTTTCCGTAACTGCTGCAGAAATGACCGCTCGTCATTCGTGACCAACTCGTGTTATTCCGGGACAAGCAAGTCTACCCATAACTCCCTGTATGACCGAGGGCGCCATTTTGGAACACAAATGTAAACAAACACTTAAACCTCGTGTAATCGATGTACACCGTGATGCTTGATGGCGATATGCTTACCTCGTGTATCAATACATTGTTCTCAATCACCTCTAACACGGAAATCCCGGTCGAAATCCACCTGAGCCATCCACAACGAGGACGTCAAGTATTTCGAAAACTCGATTGGCAGCCGAAGGAAGGAAGAGCAGCTTGCAGATGCCAGGTACGTAGCAGGGCTTCGAGACATAATGTTCCATGATTTCTATACAGAGATCTTATGGAATGGATTGATTTAGATATTTTCCTGATCTCCATGTTACTACTGTAAACGTCAAGGGCCTTTTAGTTTTGTTGTTTTCGGAAACCCTTTGTTATTATTATCATGATTATGATCAAGTGTTTGTTGTGACATGGTATTTCTATTTGGGCTTGCATAAGAGCTACAGGTGCAGGACTTTTAAGAGTCGTGTCCTAATTCTCATAACGCTGGGATTTGATGATGAGGGTTAGTTACCAAGGGTATAAATCTGGCAAAGTGCATGTCAAACAAAATGTGGCATTCAATTCCAATCATGTGTTGCCACCTGAACCGCCTGAAAGTGAGATATGGATCACAATGAATAATGACATCTTTCACAAATTCACACTGAAACATTGAAAGGATAAAGACAAGTTAGTTGTTTTCTGTTTCAGCATGTTCAGGGTTTGTGGGGAGGTTCACAGACATCCTCAGGGAGGATACCAAGTATTGAGTGAGTATTTTTGTTTGTGATAAATACAAACTACATGTATTCATCATGGTATATTTCAATGCAATGTGAAACATCACACTCACAATAGTCCAGCTCTGTGATGGCAGCCTGTAAATAGTTAAACATGGACCAGGCAATCTAGTGATTGTTATTATCAGCAAAGATCCATGCCCTCAGAGTATGATGACAACCTAGTCTGACCACCCAATTCATTAGTTGATTAGTGTTTGCAGCGGTAGGAACTAACACTTTCAGTCCACTAGACCTAAAATGATAGCATATAGCAAAACCTTTAAAATGTCAAAATGACTAGTGCCAATTTCTAACCCTCGTGTTTGGATGTTGTGTTTGTGTGTGTATGTATGAGTGTATTTAGGTTGGTTTGTTGTTTAACGCCGCACTCAGCAATATTCCAGCTATATGACAGCGGTCTGTAAATAATCGAGTCTGGACCAGACAACCCAGTGATTGATATCATGAGCATCGAGCCACGGAATTGAGATCAATGACATGCATCAACCAAGTCAGCGAGCCTGACCACCCGATCCCGTTAGTCGCCTTGTACGACAAGCATAGCCGCCTTTTACGGCAAGCATGGGTTGCTGAAGACCTATTCTACCCCGGAATCTTCACGGGTCGAGTGTATTTAACTTAAATCATGAATCTTATGCTTGTTTCTCCGTGATTTTACAATGTAACCCAAATTTTCTCGGGAATATAGAAGTATTCTCTTATTTATATTATTTCTGAACAAAGTGTCATATCAACATGATCAAGGTTAGATCTCTGTCAAAACAGTGCCATGGAAAAGCCAAACAAATAGCCTAGAAATAAAAGTAAATACTGCATTGCATTAATCTACATTTCAAGAAAATTTGGCAATAATTCATGGAATGATATTCACCTCTAACAAGTTATTTCCTATGTAATGTATGTGTTGAATGACCCTGACTTTGTTGTCAAAATATTGTTTTGACATTTGTTAAATATGGGGATAAATGTCATCTCTGAATGTTTGACATGAATTATTATGATTAAGGTAGTTCTAAGTCGGAATCAAATGTACAACATGTACAGTTTGGACATTTTTCTGTGATGTGAATGCTACTTATGTTTGTAGAATGTCCGGATGAATAAAAGAGACAGTCATCTGTGCAGCATCAATGCAAAGAAAGACCATAGAAGAGCAACAGTGAGTGGTAAATATTTTGAAATTATTCTGTTTGGTTCATATGGTTATTTTGCAAATATGTCTTCAGTTTGTTCCTTATCGCTGTGGGCACGGATGTCCTATTATCTAAGGCACTACAATTTTCTGTGCAGAGTTGCATCTCTTGGGCTTAGCAGGAACCTATAGTCATGGGTTCAAATCCTGGTTCTCCCCGATTATGTTGCTAGGTTTGTCAGCATTATACACATGCTCTTGGGATTCATCAAAGACCTGCATCACTTAGGGCTTTCTTCCCACATCAAGCTAACATGCGGTGATATATCTGGAATACTGTTCAAAGCAGTGTTAAAGCCAACTCATTTATTTAACACTGCATCCAGCAATAGTTTGGCTATATGACAAGGATTGTAAATATATATTTTTCCATGTTGATGAGTTGAAACAATCACTAAATGAAATCTCTTAAAAAGATTCCCAGCATTCCAAGCCTAATTAATAGATAAGGTAGTGATTGAGTAGGCTCATTGATCGCATGTAATCATACCACAGTGATGTGGGATATTGTCCATAATAGTTATCATCGGTTTGTCTGGACCGAGTTCATAACATTAGTCACTGGTTTGTCTGGTTGAGATTTGAGATTTGAGATTTGAGATGTGATTATCTTAAATGTTTAGCATATAACAAGACTCACATATGACAACTTAAGTGATTTTGCTGCCTTCTATCTGTAAGTACATGTGGCAACAATTCTTTTTGATTGCTAAAATCTTTTTACATAATGCTGCAGAAACTGAAGTCCTGCTTGAGATCCCTGGATGAGTATTCCAGGTTGACAGTCTGGAAGGACGAGACAAGGGAGTCCTAAACAGAGGCTGCACCCCTTCAGATATCAGAGGTGATTTGCAGACAGCGATGACGAGGGTCCTGTTATTTCAATGGAGGCCGACCGAGAAGTTGTATGCCAAATGGTACTGGGACACACAAAGGCTGGTCTGGCTAATGTGAGAAGACCAACCAATGCCAAGGTGGAGTGGAATTCTTCCAGGACATTCAGGAAATTCTTGTCTTGAGCCATATGGTAAACACTTGAAAGGAATGATAAATGGGACTTATTTTCTTTAAATGTGGACCCAAACACCAAATGGAAAGTTCACACTTCTAACACAATGCAGTAGAGATAGAGTCTAACTGGTATCCCCTCATCCTGGTTCCTGTTCATCCATGGCAATATAGAAAGAAAAGGAGGATTGAGGGAAAGTAAGTTCTCTGAACTGGTGACCATAATCCGTAGGTACTGTCAAGCGAACAGTTATCACACTCTGTTATGAGTATTGAAGAATAGGATGAAATTGCATACTGCATCAGGAACCACCATGTGAACACTGTTCAATGTGCGATATACTATAGGCATATGAATAAAAGAAATTGATAATTTGATTGTTGCTTATGTTTATTTGCCAGCTGTGTAAATGGGGATGTTTCATGATTTTGCCTCAGTTTAATAACCACACTTATCTTATGAAACCATGCATTGCTTGGGCATCTCAAGATAAATAACACATGTTTCCTTTGCTCTGAAAACGTCTGATGACACATTGATCTGTTATGTCAAAGTTCAAAGTCACAACCAGACAAAAAGTTTGTTTGTGGTCTAACTCTTCCTTTGGACAGGGGTCGAAGTTGGAAAAAGGTCGTGTGTGATCTATATATACTACATTTTCCCCTAAATTGCCTTTTCTGCAGAAGTCTTAGTAACTCTTATACATATACTGGTTACATTACTTCCATATTTTGGTCAATGATATGTTGAATTCTACCAAAGGACTGCATATTTGGTTTATGTGCTGGATAGCTCTTTGAAATGTTTTTGAAATATTTATCACTGATATTGAAGGTCAAATTCACAGTCAAAAGTGATAACTCTTGAAGGGTTGAAGTGTAAGATCAAGGCAATAGTGAAGGGGTCATTCATAAAGTATTTCTGCAATTATAACTAAAATGCCTATTTCTGGAGATATTTGTGAAGTATTAAGCACATAGTTGTTATATTATTTGAATACACATATATGTGCAGTGGTTACAACTCCAGTGTCAAATTAACTGTCAATCCCTTTTAATAAAAGAATTCACAGTAACTGAGGAAGAGCTTACTGTAGTACCATAAAACTAGGGTTAGGCAAATTTCAATGAAGTTAGTATTTTGGATATAACAAGTACATGTACTGTTACAAATAGTCTTATTATCATCTCACTAGGACTAAAGGCCCAAGTGAGCACATTGTCAATGACTTTTTCTTTTTCTCAGTACAAACTGGAAGTCTGGACATGAAATTTAAGGATATCATTATACGAGAACTGATGTTTGTTCATTAAATAGCATTAACATCTGAAAAGGACAATATATGAAATTGAACAATTGTCTTCTCCAAAAATGTGTTAGAAGGATATTTACCATTAAAGTAACCCAGAATATTACAACAGCTACCTGTAATGCACAGGCTAACATTTTTTACCAGAAGCAAGTCATGAAGAAAATTTGCATCCGGATACCTTCCGGAAACCTTCCAGATGCCTTCAGCAACCTTCAAATTGCTTGGTATTTTCAAGTTAATTTTTTTATGTGTTTCACACTTAAGTGAACAAAATGCACACCCTCCAAATTTTGACATTTTTTTTGGAAGGTTTCCGGAAGGTATCCGGGCCGGATCCAAAATGGGTAGGTATCCGGAAGGTTTCCGGAAGACGGAAACCTACACTTTTTTTGCTGTGTGTAGACGTGCTTGACGATGGTTTCCTGTCAAAATGGGGCGCCTGGCGGGTCTTCTGGCGACATTTCCTGCACATCTGAGGCAACGACGTACGGTTTGTTCGGATATTCCTCGAAGGACAGGGATTCTTCTTGCAGTCACTGTTGTTGGCTGGAATCGATTTCGTAGGTGTGTTGTTCGAATCCAGTTGTCTTGTCGATTATTGGTTACGCGTGGCCTGCCACTCCGAGGATGGTCTCTGACTGCATTCGTCTGTTGCCAACGTTGCCATAAACACCAAATGGTGTTTCTGTGGACGTTAAATTCTCTTGCAACATCACGTTGACTCGATCCTGCTTCAAGCATACCAATGGCTCGCAGACGCTCATTTTTGGACAGGCGTGGCATTTCGTAGTGTTGAATAATTGCGTAATTTTGTTGTTTTTTACTGAGTGGTTGTTGTCAGCACGATGCCATACAATGCATATCGAATTCCGTTTACGCACATGTTTTTATACACATTCTTGGGGAGTGAAATGCATGGGGCTTGCCTAAAAATCAACTTTTGGATGGAATGGATGCTTTACTGTAGCAGTTGCGTTTTTGTGACTTGATTCCATACATGAACTACAATATTGAAAACCAAACTTTACTTGTTTGAAAAATACACTCAAAGATTGGTGTCACAGGAACTTTTGTTTGTTGAGTATACATCCTGAGCCCATTCTGTTATCTGTCTTTATCAACTCAGGTCATAGTTTGATTTAGATTTAGTTGTGACTTGCTTAACTGGTTTGCGACAAATAAACATTCTTAAAATCGCGATGTTCTGATCACGAGGACGAACATGGCGGCTGCACTGATAATCTTTATGAGAGTTACTTCCAGGGTAGAGAGTTACTTCGAGGGTAATAAAGGATGTATGCCAAGAAACACATTACCTTACAACACCTGGGATTATTGTTTAACGCATTCCTGTCTCACCAGTGAGCACACACTAACGGTCGGGTTTACCACGATGTTCTTTGAAAGAAACGTATATCACAGTACTCATTTCTTTTTATTTAAATAGTGGCTGGTGTATATTGAATATTAAGTGTTATTTGCTTTCTTACGACTTTGGAGGAATAACATCCACACTGATTCGGCATTTATTATTATCATTAGTAGTAGTAGTAGCAGTAGTGGTGGTAGTAGTAGTAGTAGTAGTAGTAGTCGTAATTGTAGTAGTAGTAGTAGTAGTAGAGTTATTCATATTAACATAAACAAAGGCAGGGAAGGGTTAGAGTGACCCTGGCACACTCAGACACATGGCTATTATTATTATTATTATTATTATTATTATTATTATTATTCTGTACAGATTAAAATAAAAAATGCAGCAAGGAGGGTTTGGGTGATCCTGGCACAGTCCGGCTGGTAAGACTCATCATCAGCTCAGGGCCCTTGCCCACTATACACCCAGCTGGGACATGGAGTGGGACTTCTCCCATGAAGTCAAACCCACCAAAACCTTTTGGGAGAAAGTGAAGACTCCCCAACACTGCAGCCTTCTGCATTACCCAGATTGTCAGAAGGGCTGTATTCCTGGTAGCAAACCCAGGTACTCTCCTAGTGTCACTCAACAGATTTGGTGGTACCAAACCTAAGGAACCGAGAACAATGGGGAGTCGGACAACTTGGTACTTGGGATATAATAATATTATCAGCATGATCAGGTTTATTGATCAGTTTACAATACATGCAAAATCGTGTATGGGCAGGAACAAGTGTATAACAGGTTAGAATTATCGGTCTACACTGTCCGGCAAGCGAGTTTACTTGTTTAGACAGCTATTTTATTTTAATTCAACACTTTATACAAAACATTACTTTTTCTCTTGGCATGATATGTGTATGCGACTTCACAAAAGAACCGTGGCTGTCTTTTGTAGTTTCAACGCTATGTTACACATAGAAGACAACTGTGCAAGAAGGAACTGATGCCACTTTGGCCTGGACGTACCCTCCGTACAACAACGAAAAAATCAACATTTCCACCAGTAATGCCATGCTGTTTTAAGTTGAAGCTGAGGAAGTAAAGGTTTCAGCATCATATCGAGGAAGGGTTAAGATCAGCCCAATCATCTCAACACTCCAGCATAGAACATTCAGCTACATACTGCTCAATGTTACAACTGATAATGCCGGGCAAAGGGAGCAAAGTGTTACACAATGTAGGCATGTATTGATAGTGTCACGTAAGTATTGCTACTTTTACAGTTTGAATAGCTTGCAAGCACTGTTAGATTTCTGAAACTAGTATCATGCAAGCATTGATAAATTTCTGAAACTGTTGACATTTTGCTTCTTTTAATGACAGGTTAATTCAGAAGACATACCATATTCATGTTTGGTTAACAACAGTACAATACAATATTAAAAGATCGTATAACACACAGTATTCCCCCTCAATGTTAGACTGCATACTTTTTAATCGTGAGTAGATCGGCCCACTCAACCTGTTATTGGTATTCCTGTAACAACAGAGGTTGGATAGACTGTGTCCTTAACATGCTCCTCTACCTCCAGTAGTCTTCCACCAGACCACACGCTGACCATGTCCTGCTCAGCTGGCACAGTCAGGTTGGTTAGCCTCATCATCAGTTCAGGGCCCTTGCCCACTCTACACGCGAATGGGACTTCTCCCAGGAAGCGCTGTCTAGTCAAACCCACCCAGAACTTTTCGGAGAATGTGACATGTCGGGACATGGAATGGGACTTCTCCCATGAAGTCAAACCCACCAAAAACTTTTGGGAGAAAGTGAAGACTCCCCAACACTGCAGCCTTTTGCATTACCCAGATTGTCAGAAGGGCTGTATTGCTCGTAACAAACCCGGGTACTCACCCAATGTCAGTCAACAGATTGGGAGGTACATGTACCAAACCTAAGGCACTGAGAACAATGGGGAGTTGGACAACTTGGTACTGGGGATGCAAGCGTGACATTTCGAAAGCGAGGTCTGCATATTTGCCAGGTTTTTTCCTCAATCTCGTCAATCACATTGGTGTCAAAAGGGACAGAAAATTCAATGATATACATGATTTCATTGGATTTTTAGAAAAGGACAAGATCAGGGTTGTTGGCCTGGATATGTCTGAGGCTGTATACGAGCCTATTCCAAAGGATTTTGTATTGATCAGTTTCTATGACGACCTCTACATATTCCGAGTCGTACCATGGATTGACCTCTGTGTCAAAACCACAAGCATGGCGAAGACGGTAATAAAATGATCGAGCCAGCCCATCATGTCGCTTAAGATACTGTGTCTGTGCCAAAGCTGGGCATCCACTCAAATTTCTTCTTCTTATTATTATCATTATTATTATGATGATGATGATGATGATGATGATGATGATGAAGTCAACAACTCGATAATTTGATATCCTCACATATATTAGATATATATATATATATATACACACACACGCAGATGTAAGGCGGTAGTTGCTTTGTGCCATGTCATTTTACATTTTTTAGGCGTTTATGTTGACTGAACCCGGACACCTGGTCCAGGTCTTGAATTAAACATTACACAATAACGGAGTCCGCCATCTTGTTTAAACAGCCGACCGGCCGTGTCTCCAATATACAGCTTACCCGATAGTGAAGAGAGGAGGCTATCGCATACAATGCATTTTCAGACACATTCACAAACTGAAGATACAAACGGTGTGTCTTATTATGATTTAAATAATCACATCACCCGAATTGATGATACGTGCAAATTGTGATACTAAGTATAAACACTACATTGATGCGATTGACAGAACAACAATGTAATTTGAGCTGACAGAATCAATACTGTTTATATGTTTATATGTACCTTTTTAAATGCATTTTACAAGTTACAATTTCACATATGAACAATATGTTATGACCAATATATGTAACACTCACTTGAGACCAGCGGCCCAAACAACAGCACACATACTCCAATGAAACAAGAAATGATTATAATGGGGTCCTGTCCTCGCTAACCGCTCTCCCTGAAGACAGTGATTACTATATCCTACCACAATGTACCTGTACCAGCAGATTCAGAAATACCTCAGCCCTGTGTACACAGTGGTCTGCCTAGAGTTTATGACGACGCTCGCATCAATTTATTGCAACATACACGTCCCATTGTTACCTATTTCAACATCAAAATAAGGCCAAGACTGTAATAGTCCCCAGCGACACCCTGATACGCTTCGGGTAGTGTGATCAATCCGGTTCGGTCTGTGTTGTGCATCCATTCATGTCGTCTTATTTACAATGGTGTGTTTTTTTATACAAAGCAATCTAACTGATAGAAGTATGTATGATAAAATGGGAATGTTTCTCGGCAGGACACACCAAATGGAAAATCACTGACATTGTGGCGTGATATGTTAATGCCCCTATTGCAGGAAAATCAGCAATTTTTAACCTGCGCCTAGTCAACCGTACAACCTGGCGTAACGTATTAAAATAACGTTCGGATTTACGGTGTGTCATTGCAGTAACAGAACGACAGTTGTTTCGCAAAAAAAGGTCACATTCGTCGATCTGGGAATAACTTGTTTTAACATAATGATACCGTTCAAATAACACACTGTGACTGTTACATGTACAGGACATCCCTGACTCGGATTGTACTTTACCATCTTGGAGTTGTAAATAGTCATGGGAACGCTCGCCCTTATGCTCAAGTTGAACTGCACATCCTTACCTTGGACTGCATGTCTATCAACATTAGTGCTGCTTGTTCATGCAAAGTTCACATTTCTAAAAGTAAAATAGGAGACAATGATTAAACTGACTGGCCTTTGGGACCTGGTTTTGTACAATTGAAAAAATCCTGCAGCCTCTATATTGGTATCAAACAATCACCATACAACGCCTTGTTTGGTACTGAGGCCAAAGTTGAACTTCGTTCAAATCCCTACAAATATAACTTCTCGAGAGAATGGTGTCCAAAAACGATCTAATTGCAGCATATTCTCCCACAAACTAGACAACTGAAATGGCCACATGGTTGCAACCTGACGAGATCGAATATGTTTCCGAGGCTCAGCTTGTCAGCTAAGGACCATTGAACTGACAGCCAAGTCCAGTGAAAAAGGCCAGCAAATGGTCATCTTACTCCGGCTGAACGCATGGTCAAGCCGAATCATTCCTGGCCACCCCGGTGCCACTCCAGTGCTCCAGCAGGTGACACTCTATGTGTTACATGTGCCAGAAAGTACTGTTTAAATTTAGACTGATGATATATGTGTTTACATGTAACGACTGCAAAACATTATGTGTAAACAATATCTCTGTATATCTAAGTCTATATTTGTTCACAGTAGATTCTGTTATTTTTAAAACAGAACTGTATAAGAAACCTAAATATGGGATTTATCTATAAGTGTACACATTTCGTCATGGAATCCAGTGCATCCAATATATATCACAATTCACGACCACATGTAAATCACATCTTTAATGAAATACCATGTGTATAAAGTCCCAACAAAGTTTGATAATACGATTTACCAGCGCATGACGACGAGAGTAACAATCTAAAGGGAGGCAACCCACGCTAGCCATACTTGTATCTGTTAGCTGAAAAGACGATAATCAATGACTCATCTACAAACTGTTTTCCATACATGTATCGCGAATACATACATACATACATACATACATACATACATACATACATACATACATACACACACACATACATACACACACACACACACACACACACACACACACACACACACACACATGAATACATGCACGCACACACGCATGCACGCACGCAATCACGCACACATACATACATACATACATACATACATACATACATACATACATACATACATACATACATACACACACACATACATACACACACACACACACACACACACACACACACACACACACACACACACACACACACACACACACACACACACACACATGAATACATGCACGCACACACGCATGCACGCACGCAATCACGCACACATACATACATACATACATACATACATACATACATACATACATACATACATACATAAAGACAGCTTGTATATTCGTACTTGATTAAAGTCTTTTTTCAGTTTGATTGTCGCAACATGAAGATGCACGATGTCGTCGTTTTACTGGCTTCTGCTTGGTGTCCATAGTAACGTCCTTCACCATTGATTATCAGCCATGATTCTTACATGTTCCCATGTTCTTCCAGTGACCAATATCAAGAACAACCAACGATCAACACTGTTTGACATAGTTGATTGCGTGTCATCCTAGCCAGATGACGTCGGATTACCCGAATGCTAACTATCTTAACCTATTGAAAAGGAACACACTGTATAATCAAGGGTGTACAAAAGGTTGATGTTCAGATTTTGAAGCAACGAACCCATGCCACAAATACTGGGTACACATTCTTCAACAGACCACTTTACGCTAACTGCAACATCCATACTCAATGCAGTGAGTGAGTGAGTGAGTGAGTGAGTGAGTATGACTTTACGCCGCTCTTAGTAATATTCCAGCAATATCACGGCGGGGAACAGCAGAAATGGGCTTCACACATTGTACCCATGTCGGGAATGGAACCCGGGTCTTCAGCGTGACGAGCGAACGCTTTAACCACTAGGCTACCCGACCGCCCCTCAATGCAGTGAAGCAACGCACTAGAATCAACCTTACTGCCTTTGTGTTTATATCGGACTTCGGGATTAAACAACCGTTCTGAGTGTAATCATAATTTGAAGCATATACATAGAGGTGTTCCTGATTACTGGTGCAATATATTAATAGTGTATTTTTTTTAATTCCAGGCAACTATTAAGAGTGAGTGAGTGAATGAGTGAATGTTGTTTTTCAACTATGTCAGAAATAGCCCAGCTATATCATTATTGGCTTCACATCGACGGATGACAGCAAGGGTGAGGTCGGGACAGGGTGAGCCACCACAGTAACCGTCTTGATCTCAATGGTCACTGGTACAACAAACACGAGGTTCTGGACCTGATTCTGCCCCGAAATACCGACACACCCTTCATAATAATAATGTTATTCCCATATATCTTTGCATACATCCTACCTGTAGCAAATGTGTGATTATTATCAATTGAAACATGTTAGCCGTACACAATTTCTCCTTTCAGGCCACATCTGTGACATGTCCTGCAGACCCGGCAAACGTAATGAGGACAAATAGAGGAAATCCTTTATGCTGTGATAAAACTAAAATCGTAAACTGGCATTTAGAAGCTGCATTATTCACGGACAAAATGTACTGATTATCAAAAAAGATCCAAACCCAGTGGTGTCTGAATTGAGGCAAAGTGTGTATAGCGAATGCATAAATTAGGAGATAAACACTCTGTGTCTTCAAAACTGGAGACAGGTTACTTGTAAATTTAACCTTGCGAATTGAATTTGGAACCGCATGCGTTACATGAGATTTCAAATCTTAAATTGAGCGAGGATAAATCTGCAGGTACTCTAGCTCGACATTGAAAACACGTTATGCGTACATGTATCTCCCTTCTGCCATGACTAAATAAAACGGAAACTCCTAAGTGTTAGAAACATATATTGATCCAAGTGGCATGGGTTGGGTCTGTTGTTTTGAGTCGGTTGTCGATCGGAATTTAATGAATCACTGACAACAGCCTTTCAAGAAAACATGGCACTCTTTATACTCAAGCAGTTCGTTTAAAGTGTAATATACTTCACTCTAACTTATGACAGGCATGGAAAGCATGTAGCTAGCACGCCAGCTTCGTAAGCTACAGGGGCGGTCGGGTAGCCTAGTGGTTAAAGCGTTCGCTCGTCACGCCGAAGACCCGGGTTCGATTCCGGACATGGGTACAATGTGTGAAGCCCATTTCTGGTGTCCCCCGCCGTGATATTGCTGGAATATTGCTAAAAGCGGCGTAAAACCAAACTCACTCACTCACTCGTAAGCTACAATGAGCTGGGCACCCCTAAAGAAAACTAAGTAAACTGTGCCAAGGTTTCGTTCCACACCATTTTCCGTCATCATTTGGATATTGTTGTTGCAGCAACTTTGCATTTTGTAGCCTATAATTGTACACATAATAATTTAAATATGCCCACTGACAATGACTGCACAAGAAGTATTATTCTTAAAATATTAGGTTCCCCGGTGACGCGTCTATCAAGTCGGCTGTTTCACTCAGTTTATTATGATTTGAAACCTCTGATTGACCGATCAAAATCGAGTATTTTCCACATTCCTGGGAGAATACAGAATGTTACTCGTATAACCCCTGTTTGGTGAAAAAACAGCTATGACAAGTGAGACGTCGATTTATTTCTGTCTGAGGTGATAAATGTCTCGGTAGGTGTTAGAATATATTAATGTCCTTATCTTTAACGTTTTGTCAGGGCATGTGTGGTCAGCTGGACCGTGGCGCCGATAATATCAGTTCTCCGTTCCGTCACTGGGTTCCGGTATCAGCTCATTATGGGTTCGACTACATGTTGCATATTAGTAATGCTATTTGGTCGGTGAACACCTGGTGTCCCTGTGTCTATTACGGGTGTCTTGATTTTGTATTGAGCTTTAGAGTACAACATAACACGGAAGACGATGTTTTTTACTTAAATATTGTGGAACGAAACCTATGCACGGTTTGCATAGTTTTCTTTAGGGGTTCCAATCTTACGAAATTGGCGAGCTACATGCTTTTAATGCCTGTCATAAGTAAGAGTGAAGTATATTACGTTTAAATAAACTGCGTGAGCAAAAAGAGTGCCATGTTTTGTTTAAAGGCTGTTGACAGTGATTCATGTAATTCAGGCCAACAACTGACTAAAAACAATAGATCCAACCCATGCTGCTTCGATCAATATATTTATCTAACACCAAAGAGTTTGCGTTTTATTTAGTCCTGGTAGAAGGTAGATACACATAATGTGATTTCAATGTAGAGCTACTACCTGCAGATTTAACCTCACTAAATTAAATATTTGAAATCTCACGCAACACGGTCTGTTCCAGATTCAATTTAGTGAAGTTAAATCTACAATTAACCTATCTCTAGTTTTGAAGACAACGTATAATTTGTGCAGCCACTATACATACATTCCTTCAACTC